CAGGCAGCAGCCAGGGGATGAGCAGAGTCAGGCCAGGAAACAGGCAGGGGATAAGCAAGGTCAGGGCAGGCAGAGGATCAGCGGAGTCAGGACAGGCAGCAGCCAGGGGATGAGCAGAGTCAGGCCAGGAAACAGGCAGGGGATAAGCAAGGTCAGGGCAGGCAGAGGATCAGCGGAGTCAGGCCAGGCAGCAGCCAGGGGATGAGCAGAGTCAGGCCAGGAAACAGGCAGGGGATAAGCAAGGTCAGGGCAGGCAGAGGATCAGCGGAGTCAGGCCAGGCAGCAGCCAGGGGATGAGCAGAGTCAGGCCAGGAAACAGGCAGGGGATAAGCAAGGTCAGGGCAGGCAGAGGATCAGCGGAGTCAGGCCAGGCAGCAGCCAGGGGATGAGCAGAGTCAGGCCAGGAAACAGGCAGGGGATAAGCAAGGTCAGGGCAGGCAGAGGATCAGCGGAGTCAGGCCAGGCAGCAGCCAGGGGATGAGCAGAGTCAGGCCAGGAAACAGGCAGGGGATAAGCAAGGTCAGGGCAGGCAGAGGATCAGCGGAGTCAGGCCAGGCAGCAGCCAGGGGATGAGCAGAGTCAGGCCAGGAAACAGGCAGGGGATAAGCAAGGTCAGGGCAGGCAGAGGATCAGCAGAGTCAGGCCAGGCAGCAGCCAGGGGATGAGCAGAGTCAGGCCAGGAAACAGGCAGGGGATAAGCAAGGTCAGGGCAGGCAGAGGATCAGCAGAGTCAGGCCAGGCAGCAGCCAGGGGATGAGCAGAGTCAGGCCAGGAAACAGGCAGGGGATAAGCAAGGTCAGGGCAGGCAGAGGATCAGCGGAGTCAGGCCAGGCAGCAGCCAGGGGATGAGCAGAGGCAGGCCAGGAAACAGGCAGGGGATAGGCAAGGTCAGGGCAGGCAGAGGATCAGCAGAGTCAGGCCAGGCAGCAGCCAGGGGATGAGCAGAGTCAGGCCAGGAAACAGGCAGGGGATAAGCAAGGTCAGGGCAGGCAGAGGATCAGCGGAGTCAGGCCAGGCAGCAGCCAGGGGATGAGCAGAGTCAGGCCAGGAAACAGGCAGGGGATAAGCAAGGTCAGGGCAGGCAGAGGATCAGCGGAGTCAGGCCAGGCAGCAGCCAGGGGATGAGCAGAGTCAGGCCAGGAAACAGGCAGGGGATAAGCAAGGTCAGGGCAGGCAGAGGATCAGTGGAGTCAGGCCAGGCAGCAGCCAGGGGATGAGCAGAGTCAGGCCAGGAAACAGGCAGGGGATAAGCAAGGTCAGGGCAGGCAGAGGATCAGC